ACTTTGAGTTCTGCAAAGGATGCTCAAGAAATACTGGGAAGCCAAGAGTAGGATGGAAGGTTTGTATGAGAAACAGGGCTGGAAATGCCAAGCTAGAATTAAAACTACCATTTGGCAATAGCCTCTAAAGTATCAAAGACTGCTACTAGAAATACATCCTGCTTTTAATTTTAATCTCCAAAGCCTTCCTTTGACTCTCACACAGACAAATGGGAGAGAAAAACCAGGAGCAGCAGCAACAGGGCTGCAAACACATGCATTTATTATTGTTTTCACTGACCAGACACAGAAACCTACAGGTTTGTAAATAGGGCTGCAAATACATGCATTTATTATTGTTTTCACTAACCAGACACAGAAACTTACAGGTTTGTAAATAGGGCTGCAAATACATGCATTTATTATTGTTTTCACTGACCAGACACAGAAACCTACAGGTTTGTAAACTGCAAAACAAAAGCAGCTTAGCAAAACCCACCCTAATACTATGCCTGTATATCTGTGTATTTATTTTCAAGTTCCAAGCCTGTCCTGAAACAAACAAAAGAGCACATCCACAATCACAGCCCTCACTGCTGCTGTTGGCCAGACCTGCCTCCATGTATTTTAATTGCACTTTGTTGATGTAGTTGGTCATTTGCTGTTGCTTGATGAGCTTGGGAGTAAAGGAGGATAATTATGCCCATTTCAGGACTTCCAAGTAGTTATTGGAAATAAATTTCAGCATAGCTCAGAGATTTGTTACAGCAACATTCCACTCCCCAGACTTCTCTGAGGGCTTGGTTTTCAGCTTAGAGCTGTAGTTCCATGGTATAGCCTGCCACTTTAAACTTTCACTGTGAGCATTTTAACACCCCACAATTAAAAGCACTAAGTAACTCAAGCCAATAAATTTACTACAGGCGCTCTCCGTACTTGTTTACAATGGAAAACAGAATTGCAAATTGTAAAATTGTACTTTCAATGGATCTGCTGACTGAAGGCAATGTAACAATTGCAAGTGCCCTTTTCTCCAGTACTCTTTACTTCAGAAGAGCAGAAACAATCTGCATTCTGGAAGGAAAACACTTGGAGGCAGGACTCCAGAGGAACTACCAGCTGCCAGCAAGATAAATATGCAGTCCTGGAAGTGAGTATTTGCTCCTGCCCAGCCACGGCTCAAGGTATGGATCTGGCAGGAGGCAGAGCCACCTCCCAAGAGCTGCTGCAATCCCCTCTCTGACACCTCTGTGATCACCCCAAACCGGTTTGTATTCTGCCACAATGGGCTCTGATTCACTGCACAAGTCACCCGTGTTCTCTGCTTAGGGGAGGGAAAGGGGGAAAAGAAAAAGGAACATTATTCTCATTATCCCAAAATAACTGCTGGAAGAAGATGAATGGTCCAGGACTATTATCCTCCAGTGCTGAGATCTCAGCAGAGGGTGTTACTGCCTTCATTTGGATCAGAATTTGTAAATATATTTAACTATGCTTCTCAGATGAAGGAAAAGAAAAAGTGCTGGCATTTTGTAGAAAATCTTTTCAACAACAAACTATGAATATTTATAGAGGGAGCAAACTATTTTAAAATGTTTTCTTCTGTGCCAGAAGAGCTTTCCCACATTAGTCAAATACAACATATCAATGCCTAGAAATGCAGAAACACCCACTGGCCAGGTTGTATTTATTCTGGATGATTATGACTTCCTGAGACAAGGGAGAAAATCTTCATCAACGCTTCTGCAGAAATTCCACAAGCTGTGCAAGACTACTGCAGCACTGTGTCAAAACAGCTCAGTAGATTTTAAGATTCAAAATTAAGATACATTGTTTGTGAAAGATTAGGGCAGACAATGCACATCCCCAGTCTTTTATGGTGCATAATACAGTGCAAAATAAAATGGAATTGCGTGCTACAGGCTTTTAGAAGACAAAAAACTAATACAGTTTATATTCAATGCATAACTATTATTTTGCTAGCACTATTTTTGAGTATTGAAAATTTAATTTGGGAAAAGCTCAGTGAATTCTTCTGCAGTTACTGGTGGTTTGTAACACCATTCAATGCACCGCTTAAAATGATGTTCTAGACTACAGGTGCAGAATTAACTTTCCAAACATCAGCAGTGGTTCTGCAGTGGTTCTCTCCAGGTATTTATCACACTACTCCACCAGGACTCTATGGCCAGCTCTGTATTTTTCCAGACAGCAGTGAATTTTAAAATATATGACAAACTATCTTCAGAATTTCAGAAAAACTGAAAAAAACCCCAACCCTTAAAACCCCTAAATGTCAGAGTGTTTTATTTAGTACTCCTGTCTCTGACAGCTAAAACCAACAGTCTTAGCATGGAAATAGCTGATGGTCCCACATAAGGAACTAAGCAAAATAAAAACAGTGAGTCTCCTTCTGAAGAGATTTTTATTTTTTTGCCCAATGAATACCCCAGACAGGAAGTTAAGGGCAAAAGCAAAGCCCAAAAGGGTTTAATCAATCAGAAACCTAAAAGTTAACCCCAAGGGTTAGTAACAGCACAATATCTGAGTATCTCAAGAAATCATTGACCCTGAATGCTGCTAAACTCTGCTGCCTGTCTTTATCCTTGGCCTTAACTGGCTCTCCAATTTCCAGTACCCTGCTATCAAAGTTATTTTAATTTTTTTTCTAGATTTTTCACACCCTCCTTCATAACTGATGCTGCGGTTCTTATCAGGCAGACTCATTTCCTTCTGTGGCAATCATACCAGAAATGCATCACCCATGAGATGGTCATTTAAACCACAGGCCTGTCATTGTCCTTTACCCTGCAGCTTAAGCTGTTATCAGGGAATCACAATGGTTAGGGCTGATCCTCTGGACATCACCCAGCCCAACCCCTCTGCTAAGGGGGGCTGTAACAGGCGACAAAGGAATGTGTCTGGGATGGCTCCAGAGAGGGAGACTCCATCCCTCCCTGGGCAGCTCTGCCAGGGCTCTGCCATTCAGCATAAGGAAGGTTCCTCACGCTGAGATTAAACTCCTTGTGCTTCACTTCATGGCCATGGCTAAACTCCTCGTGCTTCACTTCATGGCCATTGCTAAACTCCTTGTGCTTCACTTCATGGCCATGGCTAAACTCCTTGTGCTTCACTTCATGGCCATTGCTAAACTCCTCGTGCTTCACTTCATGGCCATGGCTAAACTCCTCGTGCTTCACTTCATGGCCATGGCTAAACTCCTCGTGCTTCACTTCATGGCCATGGCTAAACTCCTCGTGCTTCACTTCATGGCCATGGCTAAACTCCTCGTGCTTCACTTCATGGCCATGGCTAAACTCCTCGTGCTTCACTTGGGCGCCGCCTGCGCATGCGCGGCGAGGCGCGGCCGCGCCGCCCCGGCCGGCGGGAGCGGAGCCCCGGGAGCTGCCGGGGCCGGGAGCGAGCTGGGGAGGGCAGCCAGGGCATCCCCGCTGCCGGGGCACGGCCACCCAGGGCAGGGCACAGGGAAACGCGCTCCGGGGGCTTGGGCTTCCTGCAGAGAGGGACACTCCGCCCGGGCAGCTGTTCCAGGGCTCTGCCATTCAGTGTAAGGAAGCGCTTCCTCACGTTGAGATTAAACTCCTTGTGCTTCGCTTCATGGCCATGGCTAAACTCCTTGTGCTTCGCTTCATGGCCAGCGCTCCTTGTTCTGCCGCTGGGCACCAAGTCTAGCACCAAGTCTGCCAAGCCCAGCACCGTCCTCTTGGCACCCATTCGAGAGGTTTGCGTGCACGGATGGATCCCCTCTCAGCCTTGTCCGGAATAAACAGGCCCAGCTCCCAGCCCTGCCCCAGAGCCCTCACCGTCTCCGTGTCCCTGGCGCGGCGGGGAGCCCGGCACGCACACAGCCCCCGGGTGTGCCCTCAGTGGGGCCGAGCAGAGGGCAGCACGGCCCCTGACTGCCGGGCACACCTTCATTTCTTTGATCTCTATTTCCAAGCACTTTGGTAGGAAAAAAAACAACAACAACCCTACGGTCACATACAAGTATTTTTACTTTTTTCCACTTCAACGCCTCAGCCTCACCTTGAAGCCCCCTCAGCGTCACCTGCAGACGTTTGGTGAGGTACCAGCAAGAGCAGCGCAGCAAAGCTGTTTACTACTGAGATAATTAAACGCTTCCAGACCACTGACGACACGGCAAGAGTGGAGCTGAGTGTTACTTTGTTTACCGTTCGTTCATTCATTCATTCACGGCGCTCAAAGCGCCATGGGTACGAACCCACACACCTGACAAACCCTAACAAACCTAGGTTAGGTAAAGGAAGACATTTTCTCCTGTAAGGCTAGCCAGGCACTGAACAGATTACCCAGAGCAGCTGTGGCTGTCCCTGGAAGCGCTCCGGGCCAGGCTGGACGGGCTCTGAGCAGCCGGGGCAGCGCAAGGTGTCCCTGCCATGGCAGGGCTGCGCTGAGATGAGCTTTAGGGTCCCTCCCGACCCTTGCACGGTACACCGAGCGCTCCCAAACCCGGAGGAAGGCGGCCGAGCTGCCCCAAGGCCGAGCTGCCCTGCCCGGCCGCTCCATCCCGTCTGCTCCCCGCCAGCCGCGCCCCGGGGCCGCCGCCGCGCCTTCCACCGCGGGCATGCCGCGGGAGAGCTCCCCGGCCCCGGGCGCTCCAGCCGGACGCTGCCCGGGGAGGGAGGCCCCGCCGCGGACAAAGGCTGCGGGCCCGGCCGGCCCGGCCGCGCTGGGACCCCCCGACGCCCCCAGCCCCGCAGCTGAGCGGCCCCTCCGCGCTTCCCCGGCGGGAGCGGCGGCAGCGCTTACTCTGCGTGTCGGACAGGGAGATCATGGTGGCGGCGGCTCCGGGAGCGGCTCCGGCAGCGGGACGGGGATGGCGCCGGGCCCCGCGCGGCAGTGGCTGAGGGCGGGCGGCGGAAGGGGCGGGGCCCGGCGCGCGGCGCAGGTGGGAGCTGCGGGGCGGGAGCCGTGAGGGGAGGGGGAGCTGCGGTAAAAAGGGAGAAAAGATGCGGGGTAAAGGATAAGGGGTGCGGCAGCGCGGCCGGCACTAGCTCTCGGGGCAGCTGTGGGAGCTGGCGGCTGAGCCCGCCGCGCGGGAGGACACGGCTGCGAGGCGCTGCTCCATCCCTCCATCCGTCCTGCCACCCGCCGAGCGGGGCCTGCCCTGCCCGTCCGTCCGTCTGTCTGTCGTGCCCCGTCCCTCAGCCCCACCGAGCGGGTGCTTCAGGCCTGGCAAGCGCCGTGCCCGCGGCTGGCGTGCGGGTGAGAGCGCTGCGAATGTTGCACTGTGTGTGCGCACTGGATTTGGATACTGCTCGCACTGTTTGCCTGTAAATATTGCCGCGTTGGAGTAGGTTGCCCCGGGAGGTGATTAAGAGGTGTCTGGGTCAGGCCCTGGGTGATGTGGAAGTGTTTTATTCACACATTGTTTTTAATATGTATTTCTCCCTCCATTTATAGGAGCGGGGAAGATCATTGTTGTGGTGGAATCAGCTGGTAGTGAGATATTTTTCCCCCTAGTATTTATTGTAATGCAGAATTTATTCCCTTTCATTTTCCATTGGACTTTGTTTCCATCCGTGTAATAAATAGTTCAGAGTGCAATAACAGAAAACATCAATTTCTTGTGTAGCTGTTTTCTTGGTATTGCTAAGGCACAACGTGACAAAACCCATTGTTCAAATAATGAGCCAATAAATTCAGTTCTATTGAAGAGTATTCAAAATCGATCCCCTTCTCTAAACCAAGCCACGTTTTCATTTCCTCCTAACAGATGCTCTGTTATGGTGGCTGCCTTTCTGAGGGGCACAATGTGACGTGTCCAGACTTTTCTGTAAAATAAGCTTTGAAGAGATCAAACCTGGCAATGGGCACTTGGTGAGTGACTGGTCTGCCTTAGGCCGTTCCTCCTGCAGGAAATTAATGACTTTGTTAACATTCACCTGGATTCATCTAGAAGCCTGGTGAGCTGTGGCCTCAGGAGCTGAGTTTGTGTTTATCCATCTTGCAGAAGGGAAAAAGCATTTGTCATCTAGTGGGGCTTCTTTGTGTGAGCAAATTAAATTAACCAGGACCTAAACTGTTACATTAACAGCTCTGGTAACGAAGAACCTCCTGCAGGAAATTTGTTCTAAGTTGAGAAGGTTCACTTATAAAATATATTTTAAAATGTATTTATTTCATTTTCTTTTTAGTGACTAAATAAGATCTCCTAAAGATAACATTCTTTAATCTCCAGAGATGACAGCTGTTGCAGGTAATCCATAATTAATATTCCATATGTTCATTTTGCTGTCTCTTAGCTAACAAAACACAATCACCTGATGTTATTTACATGGTTTAATGTATACATAAAAGAGTTTGTGGGATCTGTGCTATTACACTTAAGATTTGAAGGAAAAAAGTCTTTGACTGGCTAGCTTTTTATTTCTTAGGTGAAACTAAACCAAAATTCCCTGTCCCTGGAAGTGTTCAAGGCGTGGTTGGATGGGGCTCTGAGCACCCTGCTCCAGTGGCAGGGGAGTTGGAATGAGATGAGCTTTAAGGTCCCTTCCAGCCCAAGCTACTGTATGATGAAAATCAAGTTTGTCAAGGAAATGACTTGGTTTTCAATATTTCAAAAATGTGCTTCATATTTTAAGACACTCTAACTGTTTTCTGCTGAGTAGCATTTAGCAAGTCACCATTTTGTGCTATTTGAGATGAAGATATTTTGTCCCTTTCACACATTTTTGTTTCCATATACCATTATATATTACCATATCTGCTCTGGATGAGCCTAAATCTCTTGGGGTTTTCTGGCTGTGAGGGAGGCAGTAATTCCTCCTGATGCTTTTGTGACCTGCCTCTGGGGTACACGCTTGGCATGCAGGTGTGTGTGTTAATTATTCTTTTAAACTCCAGGGGTTGGATTCTAGAACACAATCTGCAATTCACACACGTGTGTGTTGGGGTGGAAAGAGGCAATTCCTGCCAAAGAGTCACTTGTGCAACCCAAGCTTTTGGGGAGCACTTCATTTCTTTCAGTGTGAAGGCTGGCTTGTGTTTGTAAAAGCATTTTCCCTCTACATCCAAACCCTGTTCAGCACATCCCTTGTTCTGTGGAGGAGGGATCCTGGTGCATGAAACACATCTTGTTGCTAATGGCCCTGTTTTCAGCCCCAGAGGAGTTTAACTTGCTGGGGTTAATGTTGCTTCTCACTTGCAAATAAATGCTTTCTGTGAGCAACTTGATCGTTGGCTGGAGTACAATTAACACAATTAAAAGTGGCATCAGCACGTGGCTGTGGTCTCAGTTGTGCCTTCTCCTTGCTCCTCCCTGCAGTGCTAGAGGAGGTGCTGGTGTCCATTGAGAATGAGCTGCAGGCAGTGGAGATGCAGATCCAGGAGCTTGTGGATAAGCAGCAGGAACTCCTTCAAAAGAAGATGAGGGTGAAGAATCTGATAAAACAGTCCTCAGGAGACTTGGAGGCAGGTGGAAGTAAAGACACTGAAACCTCAGCTGAGGAATGGAACAAAAAAGGTTTGCAGAGTCAAAGTCTAATGTTTTAACAGGAAGGTGAATTAATCCAGTAGGGGGAAATGCACTTAGAGTTTTGTTTGCATAATGATGTTGTCCTATTTCATTTTAGTCAGCTGGCTGACGTGCCAGGGAATGGGGTAATGTTTGTACTTGTCTCACTGGACATTCCTGAGCACTAATCTTGAGCTGTTCTGGGCAGAACTATCTGTTCTGTCAGAATGGCCTGTTGTAACTCCTTCAATTCTTTGCTTGCTGCAAAGTCACAATTTGATCTGATTTGCACTTAAAATCCCAGAGTAAATTTTGATTGCAGTACTTGTATATTAAATGCTTATATTGCAATACTTCTCCTTGTTTGTGTTCTAAAGCAAACTGCTCTGGATTTTCTCAGGATTTGATAATGACAGTTTTGCACTTAGAGTTGGTTTTTGTGTTTCCTCTTGCTCGAGTGGGTAGGACATTGGTAGTGTTCATGATGGGTCATGTAGCCTCACTGTCTTACCAAATTAATGCAAATCAGATAGATGCTGACTGCCAAAAATAACCTAGAATACATTATTATTGTACAATTAGTGCAAGTGGCAAGTGCCTCGTGGTGGTGGGAGGGCTGCTGTCTTTCAAGGCAGGCATTAAATGAAGTCCTGAATAGTTGCTGCTTCTTGGCCATGTTATGCCTTGCCAAATTTGACTCAGATATTATGAATTTTTTTCTCCTTTTTAATTCAATTTTCAATTTCTAAATGCCTATGTTGTATATATAAGCTTTTTTTGGCTTTTAAAAAATGAAATTAATGTGGTAGTTGAATCCATATTTATCTGTATTTGAGGAGTATTATGCATATGTAAGAATGCTGATACTTTATCAATGCAGATTATGCTATTGAACAAATAATTTGGTTTGTGTAGGTTTTTGCTTAATTCTCACCTCCTGTGCTTTGAAAATGGATGTCTTTGCAGTCAGATGCTGTGTGTGTATTAAACAGGAGCAGCAGCTAAATTTGTTGCCAGTTCAAAGCTCATGGAAGTCAGTGAGAGGCTTTTCTTGGTTTCACAGAGCCTTGGATTTTAACTGTGCTCTTTGTCAATTTCTCTGCAATGTCACCTCAAGTCCCAGAATTAATTCTTGTGCATTGCACGTGGTGTAACCTGGAGCTCCCACAGCTTTTCTGCATTTTAATTTTAATAGTACCAAAAAGATGCATCAGGAAGCATAGTTTAAGTTTTTACAGCATTACATCTTTTAAAAATGCAGTCTTTAGGTCTTTATTGAAGAAAAGAAAAACCTATTAGAAGCATGTTGGGGTGGTGATTTTGGGGAAGATTAAACAACTTTTCCCCCTCTTTATTTTTTAATAAATGCTTATTATTGATGGAATGTATGGAAAAATTGTATCCCTCCTTCTTTATGCTATTTGTAATTTCTGTATTTGTATGAGGGAAGCATTTGAGTAACTATTGTAGGGCTCAGTGTCTGGTTTTATTTTTTTTCAGAGTGGGATTCTAATTTCTAGTTATTTTGGACTAATGAGTTAACATGCTCATTAGCACTCTGAAGTTCATCTGTTTTCAGCTTTTCACATCCATGTGCAATGAGAGCTTTGGTCTGGAGGTGAATTGTGTTTACAATTTGAGTTTTCAAAGGTCCACCCTAGAATATTGTGTATCAGCTTGTGTGAAGCTTTTTCTGAAATCCTGAAACACTTTCCCAGATCTAAAATTGTGTCACTGCTAGATTCAGTTATTCAATATGTAAATTACCCCTCCTTCTTATATTGTAATTTGCTTATGAAATGTGTTTGTTGAGTTGGTTTTTTCCCTTAACAGATTTTCCATGGTATGAGAAGATAAAAACTGCACTGCAGAGCAAATTTAAACTCCAGAAGTTCAGATCACTGCAACTTGAAACAGTAAATGCTGCAATGGCAGGGAAGGATATATTTCTTGTCATGCCTACAGGTGGTGGGAAGAGCCTTTGTTACCAGTTACCAGCTGTCTGTTCTGATGGTATGTAAGGGGGAAAAAAGGATAATAAAAAGAATTTCATGTATTTTCTCCCTTTAATAATTATTTGGAGAACGAACATTGCTTGGTGTGGTTTTTATTTGGATGATTTGGTTTTGTTTGGTTGGTGTATTTTTAATAACTCATCCAATTGCTTTGGAAGTTTACTTATTTACAGAGGCCAAATTTACCACTCCCTGTCACTGCTTAGTTCTGTGGCAAATCAGCACCTCATGACACAGATATCCAGCTTGTTTTGTTTTGTGTATTTTCATCCTCTGTTGGAGCTCAGTTGTGTTTGTGGTCTAGACCCTAAGAGGAGGTGTTTGTTGTGGATATTTAATAAGAATTATCCCTGTGTGATCTGGCACTCACTTGTCAGCTGTCTGGGAGGGGAATCCCCTGCTGTGTACAAAACTTAAGCTTACATTTGGCAGTTTCTTCAGAGCAGGGCTGATGCATCAGTATAAAGAATTAGAGGAGATATTTGTGACATCTGAACTGCACAATGATTGATTGTTACAGGTTTCACACTGGTGATATGTCCTTTGATATCTCTCATGGAAGATCAGCTCATGGTTTTGGAACAGCTTGGTATCTCTGCAGCTTTATTAAATGCCTCAAGCAGCAAGGTGTGTTTAAGTTCTTGTGTTTTGTGGTGAATGTGCTGGTGTCTCCCCTCTGTGTAGTCACTTGTGAATGTTGAATGGATGAGACAGATTTATCAGCTAATGATGTTCTAGCAGCAGTGTCTGGCCAGGAGGGTGCTGTGATAGGAGGAAGGGGGTTAAATATCTTGTGTTCATGTTTTAGTGACAACAACACACGGGAACCAACACCATCTGTGGAACAAATAGATCTCTTGGGACTATTTAGAGGGTGTGAAGTGCCTTTGGCTGATGAGTGTTGTAGATTTTTACTCAGTTTCTAGACTTGAAGTAGATGATTTTTGTCTTCTTTTACCATGCTGAGCAGTGCAGGCTTTTACATATAATTATGATTTATCTCTTACTGTAGGGTGGTGAGCTGTTTGATCCAGAGGCCAAGAAGCAACTCATTTCCCAGTCTCATACTACAGTTGCTTTTTTACAGTTATTTTCCTGACTAGCAGGAGGCCATGATCATTAACTTGCACATGACACTGGATTTGATTGATTGGCTTGATGCAATGTGCCAGACTTGAAGCCTGCTTTGATGCAGAGCACTCTGCAAACTCAGTAATAAAACCACTGTAGTGTGCAAGGAATTATTTTACACTTGCAGTATCACAGGGATGTTTGGTAATCACAGTTTATTGGGGAAATATTGATACCATATGATGAAGCAAAAACACATATTCAACATGTGCTTCTTCAAAGTTCCAGCACAGATTTTCTAGGTATTAAAAGGACCATTTTATTTATACATATAGTGATCTTCTACAATGGCTTACAGTGGTCAATACCGTGGAACACTTGATCAGTCTGTGTTAATTACACCTTTTGAATTGCTAATCCCCTCTTAAGAGCCTTAGCGCTAAGCAGCCTCAGTGTGTTGTCCCAGTTTGTTACCCCTGCTGTCTCACTTTGTTTTGAACAGGAACACGTGAAGTGGGTCCACACGGAAATGCTGAAGAGGAATTCCCAGCTGAAGCTCATTTATGTGACCCCAGAGAAGATTGCAAAGAGCAAAATGTTCATGTCCAAGCTGGAGAAGGCTTACCAGGCCGGGTGCCTGGCTCGCATCGCTGTGGATGAGGTGCACTGCTGCAGTCAGTGGGGCCACGACTTCAGGCCTGGTATGCTCCTCAGAAATCCTTGCAGGGCTGCTCAGGCAGCTGTCAGTCCTGGGTTAGGCCTGAACAAGGCCAGCTGCTTCCTTCGTGTGTAAAGTGAATTTTAATCCTTGACACATATCTGTGTTAACTCAAGAACTTTAATTCACAAATCATCCAGCAGCTAGGTTAATGCAAATGATGATTTCAACATAGATTTTGCTGTCAGTATTCTGAAAAATTACTTATTCTGCTTACTGTAATTGGAGCTGTATAAAATCAAAACTTTCATTTGGCATCTTTAATACGGATAATAGTTACCTTTAATCTGCTACATGGAAGTGTCATTCTGTACACCACTCCCTGGCACTTCTGATGAAGGAGGCAGAGCATTTTGTAAATATTCATGAGATATATTTTAATCATCTCTAAAGCAAGTGGAAACAAATGCCCTTCACTTATAGGGAAAGAAAGTGTGCTTCAGTCTTTTTCCTGTCTTGGAGATTGTAGAATATTGTTGGTTGCTGTTTGTTTGTGTTTGAAAGAAAACCTGATTTGAAGCAATATTAACTGTAAAATCACTCTTAGCAGTTTTGCTCAGAAGTGGTGCCTGAGCCAAGAGCCAGGCTGGTTCAGCAGGCAGTGAGGAATTTGGATGGGTACCTCTGGCTGCACTTCTGTTTGTAGGCAGCAGGTGATTGTCAGTACTGAGCCTTTAAATTTTTTTATTATTACACTCTGGTCTGTGTATCCAAATTCTACATTGCTTATTTATTAGAAAAGCTCTGTTTACTCAAAAGCTGTTTGTAAAAACAGACCTGCAAAATAACCTGAATGTTGGTTAATGCAATGCCACACATATTTTTCTATTTCCATACATTTTTGCCTTCTGAATTGTGGCTGATAATTGCAGCCTTTCAGTACCTGGAGGAAGCCTGAAAGAAAACTGGGGAGGGAGTTTTTACAAGAGCTTGGAGTGACAGACCAAGGGGAATGGCTTCAAACTGAGGGTGGGTTTAGATTGGGTTTTGGGAAGAGCTGTGAGGGTGGTGAGGCACTGGCACAGGCTGCCCAGAGAAGTTATGGATGCCTCATCCCTGGGATGTGTTCAGGGCCAGGCTGGATGGGGCTCTGAGCAGCATGGGATAGTGGAAGGTGTCCCTGCTCATGGCAGGGGTTGGAACAAGATGGCCTTTGAGGTGTCTTCCAACCCAAATGATTCTGTGATTGATTCTTTAAAACTCACTTGAAATACATCTCTTTTCCTAAGTGCAACCTGCTTGTTACTTGTTTTGGATGTATAAATTAGTTCTGTAGTAGATAAGCAGTGATAACATTTATTGCAGTATTACCCCATTAAATATGATCTACATGAATGCCTTTTTTAAGTTTGCATTTGTGGTATGAGAAATCTTGTTCTTTCCCTCTTTTCCCTTTTTCTTTTCTTGCTTAGACTACAAGTCTCTTGGTATCCTGAAAAGACAGTTTCCCAATGCTCCCTTGATTGGATTGACAGCAACAGCTACCAATCATGTTTTAAAGGATGCTCAGAACATCTTGCATGTTCAGAAGTGCATTACCTTTACTGCTTCCTTCAACAGGCCCAACCTTTACTATGAGGTAGGTCTTGTTACCTGCTTTGTGCTGTCTCCTGCAGGGAGAGGGGCAGGCAGCAGGCTCAGACTGCTTCAACCTGTTGGAAAATGTCTTATGAATTGTTCTGTTGTGCTGTATTTTCACTTTGGCCACAGGTTTGTTTATTGTTCTTGGTGGGGAAAGCTTGCCAGGTTTATTTTGGGGTTTATTTTTCAATGGACTTTTGAGTTGTAATCTAACTGTTCATAAAAAGAATATAGTATTTCTTTTTAAATGGTGGAATAGTTGTGTTTATTCTACTGGGAAAAGTAAAATAAGGATGTTTGGCAGACTGTTTGCCCACCTGAACTCTGACATGTGCTTAATATATTTTTGAGGTTCGGCATAAGCCTTCAAATAACGAAGATTTCATTGAGGACATAGTTAAGACAATTAATGGAAGATACAAAGGACTGTCAGGTAAAAAGTGTCACAAAAGACATGTTATCTTTCATGACCTTCAGCATTGCAAGGATGTTAGGATGTTTTCAAATGATCTTGAAGCATGTTGAGAAATTCTGCCTTCACCATACATTAAACATCCAGCATTAGAAAAAGTGAAATTTAGTAAGATCCATACCTTGAATAATTTCTCTCTTCATTCATTACTGTTTAAATGTCTTTACAGTTTACTTTTATCTTCTGAAGTATTGGGCTGGAATGTTGATGTCTATAGAACTATGTTTACATATGTAGTAATAGGAAGGTTTAAGATGGTAAAAGCAAGGCTCTATGTTCTTAAATCACACATTGTTTACTATCCATGTGTCAGGATACTGCTATCTTTAACATGGTTTTCATATTTGATCAGAAGAGTCATCTGTTACTCAGTGCCCAGAATGGGTGTCATGGTGTGAATTACAGATAAAAGCAGAACTGTAGAAGTTGGACTTGTGTAATCAATACATTCTGCAGTGGAAGTAGAGGAGAGGCATGTTGCCAAGGCTGCAGAATCCAGGTTGCAGAGCAGCAGTCTGTCCCTGTCTCTGCTTGGAGCTCTGTGGCTGTGAGGAGCAGCTCCCTGAGCACAAGCTGTGCTAAGATGATCAACAATCACATGGCTTTGTGTGTAATCCCTGGCTTAGCCCAGCCTGACTAATGACAAAAGGCAGATTTAACTGAAACCTCAGCTGAGATGCCATAGATGTCATAAGGCATAGCACCCCTTTAGAAAGCTTTACTAAGCACTGTCCTCCTTGAACATTAACAGAATGCTTCCATGGTTCTATGGATTGGCACCTGTATTTCCTCTTTAGCCTTCAGGTCCAACCTGATAACTGAATTTTCCTTCATAAATACCAATACTATGGACTAAATAGGCACAAAGACTGTATAATGCTTTTTAATTCTTTATTTCATAAGCTAATAAAACTTTCACAATTGTTTTTAAGTATTGGGGATTGTTTGGTCTTTTTAAAGCATTACAATGAGGATTCTTTCACTTTTGTGCAGGAATTGTTTACTGCTTTTCTCAGAAGGATTCTGAGCAAGTTACTGTGAGTTTGCAGAAACTGGGAATCAAGGCAGGGACTTACCATGCAAACATGGATGCTAAATATAAAACCAAAGTTCATAAAGGATGGGCAACAAATCAAATCCAGGTTAAGTAAATACTTTACATGGACTTCAAGTTTTATGTAAACAAATTGTGGTTTGGTATCTTGATGATTCTTTAACCTTTTTCTTTTTCACAGGTTGTAGTGGCAACTGTTGCTTTTGGCATGGGAATTGATAAACCTGATGTGAGGTTTGTAATTCATCACTCTATGAGCAAGTCCATGGAAAACTACTACCAAGAGAGTGGACGTGCAGGTATTGCAGGAAGTGGCTTTTGCAAAATTGCCACTTACATCCATTACACCAGAAACCTGTCCTTCAGTTTCCCTGGCATTTGTGCAGTCTCTTGCCTTTGAGACAGTTTTCAAAGGGTGTAATGAAACTTGCCTCTTTACAGAGGCCTTAAATATAAACTACATTCATGACCAGGCCTCTACTGTAGTGTAACAAATAACTGGGTATCTACACCTCCACTCAGCATTTTTTTAAATACTTGATTTTCTGTGAAATCTGTGGCTTACCAGAATAACATGATACAGATTTGATGTACAATTATAATTTTTTAATATAGTATAGCACCTGGGATGTGTGATTTGCTCAGATTGCCTCTATATGATGTTTAATCACTATGAATTTCAGAAATACAAGTGGGATGGGGAGTCTGGAGCAGGGAATTTGAGGGATTGATCAATGTTAAGCAGCACTAAATACCTGTTAGGGCCAAACTCCACCCCCAAAAACACTTTGCAGTGTTTGGGGTTTTTTTGGTTTTGTTCATCTTGTTACTTTTTCAAAGACAGATTTGAGTCTACGTGGAGAAAAGCTTGTCAAGGAATTTGAGGGGCAATGGGTTGAGATTGTAATTATCTGTTCATTTTAATGCATTGCAGGTAGAGATGACCAAAAAGCTGACTGCATTTTGTATTATGGATTTGGAGATATATTCAGAATCAGCTCAATGGTGGTGATGGAAAATGTTGGCCAAGAGAAGCTGTATGATATGGTATCTTACTGCCAAAATATGACCAAGTAAGTTACTGTGGTGGCTTGGTTACTTAGTTTTTAAATGGGCTAATTTGTGAGGGGGGTTTTAGGGGGCGTTTGGAAAAAAATCCAAAACAAACAAAACCAAAATGAACCCATCACCAAACAAAGCCACCCACAAAAACAGCAGCAAGCTTGCCAGCTTCAGGATACACCTCTGGAAGTGGTTGTGTTGAGATGAAGTACCTGTCAACAAACAGTTTGGATTTCAAGTCCCAGTCAGAGGAAATACTGGAGTTCTGTGGTTTTGACTCCAAGCTACAGTCTTTAATGGCCACATAGGAATCCAGGTGTATTTGTTGCTTCACTGTGATATTTGGAATACTTCATGGAAAATGTGTATCTGTGTTGTGGACAACTGGTGCAATCCAGTAAAGCCTTTTGTGGCCTCAGTGTAACAAGGAGTTCATATTCTAACCATTTTTCAATCTCTGCTTCAACCAAACTGTTCTACACCAGTATTGGCATAGCTGGTAGGGAATGCTGGTGTTGCTGTCTTTGTTCTCTGATTTTTTTCCTCTGATAATTCTTTGTGCTTGCTTTGAGATCTGAGCTGTCCCTAGGACCTTTTCTGCCATTTTCATGCTGTAGAAGGCAGGTGTGACATACTCACCTGGGATCTAAAGCCCCCCTCTGCTCTTCAGGTGTCGCCGGGTGCTCATAGCCCACCACTTCGATGAAGTGTGGGATTCTGCAAACTGCAACAGAATGTGTGATAACTGCTGTAGAGAGAATGGTAGGTAAAGGACAGGGAACATGGGAGAAGTTGATTTAAAGAAATACCTGGTGTAGAAAAACTGAGCAAATTTTGGGACCTGTGCTTGTATTACTAACTGTTTAAGGTGCAGATTTTGTTATGAATATCAGTTTTTGGTGGCCTACTGTTGCCAAGTTAGTTTAAAAGCAAAACAAAAAAAGCCTTGCTATTGTATATAGCACAAAGATATGTATTTACAGCTACATATAACTATATATATAACTACAAAGAGCTTTCTATTTAAATGTTCCTTCACTTGCAGCATGTGAGAAGATGGATGTTACAGGATACTGCAGGGATCTGATAAAGATCCTTGAGCAAGCTGACAGCATGAGTGAGAAACTCACCCCACTGAAATTAATCGATGCCTGGTCTGGGAAAGGTGTGTCCAAGTTCAGGGTGCCTGAAGTTACTCCACCCAAGCACCCTCGAGAGGAGCTGGAGAGAATTATTGCCCATTTGCTGCTGCAGCAGTATCTGAAGTATGTAAGATAACTATTTTGTTTTCTTTGTTTTGGTTTTTTAACACCTAGTAGTCGTTTTTCCTTGCTCTCTTGTTACTTCTGTGTAACATTAATGGATACATTCTGTAGTCTTGTTTTCATTTTAGATACATTAAATGTATTCTTAAAAACCGTTCAAGTGTTGTTATATTTACATTTCAAAAGTGGGAGAAACAGTTGAGATGCTGCATCTTGTGCAATTTTAAAAAGCTGGGGTCTTCTGTATTCAGGTAGAATGTTTAAATCTGCAGCAGGATTCATTTTGGAGAAGTCTGCAGTTATTCAGATCTCATTCACATTCCATGGATAAGGAGAGCAAATGGGGTTGCCCACACAATGTCTAAGTCAGGAGAGACTGGCTAATGTGGAAAGTGGTACTCAGGAATTTTAAGAAAGCATAGTGAAACTAACAACAGTGCTGCCTCTGTAAGCTGTGTGCTACGTATTTTGCTTGTCTTCTCATAAAATTTTTAAGTTCAAGAATATCTATAAATATCTAATCCCTTTATTTTAACTTAATTTTTTGCATCTCTCCATATAACTTTTTATTAAGAGGGTGAGCAGATGACTTTTTCATCTTTTTTGCTACATCTCATTTTCTTCCACGTGTTTCAAGAGATTGACAAGTGTGCATCTGAATGTTTTTGTGTGTGTCAAGGTCCACAAACTGAATTATGTTAAGTGTTGATCAGAGTAGCTCTAAGTCACCTGACTGTCTACTAGAATAAATAAAGCAGAATGAAGCTGCTCTCTGGAACATCCATCAGAAGGGTTCATGTGTCCCTGTCCTTATGGAAAGAGTTGTTGGGATGGAGGCAGGGAAGTGGTGGAGTCACCATTCCTGGGACTGCTCACACAACATGCAGATGTGGCACCTGAGGACATGGTGTAGTGGCAGTGCTGGGTTGATGGTTGGACTTGATAATCATGGAGGTCTTTAACTTTGATGCTATGATTTTTTTTCCCCTGCATATTCTCCAGCCTTCCCTTGTAACAGTGATTTCATTCATGCAGGGAGGATTTCAGCTTCACAGCCTTTGCTACAATATCCTACCTGAAGGTGGGACCCAAAGCCCGGCTGCTGAAAAACGAGGGACATGTCATCACCATAGAAGGGATAACAAACAGCAGAAGTGTTTTCAAGGTATTTACATCTGTTCTGATTTGCCATATAGGTATCTTCTCCATTGAAGCTTAATTTAGTATCTGCTCAAAGATACCAAATGTTTGTAATATGCTCATGTTTTGTAATAATGCAGTCAACCTCATAAATATCTTCTCTCTTGTGTGGGAACATGGAAAAAGAAGGAAAACAATGTTAGAATTTTAACTGAACTCTTCTTAAATCTTACAGGTCAAACCATCTCAATCTTCAAATTCAAAAGGAAGCAGAGAAAATGCCCAGACTGGAACAAAGACTGTCCAAGATTCAGTGGTGAAGAAATCACAGGAACATAAACGGCCCAGCTGTGGTCCTAACTTAAAAGCAAAGAAGCCTAAGCTTCAGGCAGGTGCAGATGACCAACCAGTACTAATTGACTGAGTGTCACAGACTAAATTTAGGATCTAATCATGGTTGCTGCTCCATGGACAGTGCAGTGTGTAAGTTCAGTTTGTGCTTTAGTAATGGTGTTTTTATTTAATAAACACTGAACAGGGAACAAATATCTTAAAAAACTGTCAAATCGAGAAGGCTAATAGAGGAGGAAAAAGTGTTTCATATCAAAATAATTGGTGCCAATCTTGGGTTACAGCAATGATTACAAAAGCTATATAAATGACCACGTTGCCTTTTTACCTCTTTTGGAAGTGTAGAATACAGTAACACTGTGGTGGGTTCTTGCAGTCTGGAAAGGACTGCCAAAGGTGCAGAGGTTTCCAGACTTCCTTCCTGTGGGAGTCTCCACCCACTGCTCCACTGAGAGTCCTCTAGAGATTTCTCTCCTTTGCAGCACAGGACTTGGTGGTCCTTAGCTCTGCACAAAGGCCCTGTGAGCCTCTGTTCCTTCTGCCTGCTGTGCAGGTGCTTTTCCTCTTCACCAGTGACTCCACTGCAGCCAGGGCACTGCCCCCCCAGGGCAGCTGCTGTCACCAGCCCCAGGGAGTGACAGCAGACATCTGGGGCTGGGATGCTCCAGCATCCTTCCCCCGGAGCCCTGGCTGGCTCAGAGCTGCTGCTGTGCCAGGGCTGGTTGTTCCAGCCCATGTGGGCACTGTCCCTACCCCCACTGTGGCATGACTGAGTGAAATATTGTATGTATTTGAGTGAAATATTATGTGTATTTATTCCTTTGAAATATGTCTGTTGCTCTTAAAATTGGACTTCTCTAGGTTGTTATTCAAATAGAAATTTATGACTTCTGTGCTTGGCAGAAGTACCTCAATTTAAGTGTACAAACAAGACAACCTGCCAGCCTAGGAAACACTCAACAGCTACTGCTGCCTGCAAGCATTCTCAGGCACCTGTGCTGACTGCTAGATTCAATTTTCTTTTCTTACTTTTAACATCTTAGCAGCCCAAGATCAGAAAGGCATGTTCAGTTTCATTAATAAATGCAAATTCTGGGTGGTTGCATTTTAGCTCTTCTCCCTTACACTTACATGTATAACAAATACACAACTAATACCATTATCAACATGCTCTTCATCTTTATTTTTCTGGTAAAAATGTGACGGTGACTAAAGCCTATAATCTTTCACCCATCCTTTAGCTGAGACCTTTGCCAAAAAATGAAAATTTAGTTAAAAACAGTCATTCTCCTCAAAAACATTAGGTGATTTGTCTGGGACAAGTCTCAATATGTACTGCCAGCTTTGTATTGAGTACAATAAATGGTTCCCAATTTGACCCAAAATAAATAGCAACTCTCAGGCAGCAACCGTAGAATAAAAGCCAGGATGAAATAATTGCTGTCCAGGGCTGGCACTGTCCAGTACAGCACAGCTCTACCCTAACACCTGGACAGCTGAAGGGACAAGCAGTTCAAAGGCTGCTCTCAACTGACATCTCATCCTGGCTTTCATTGTGCAAAGCTTCTGTTCTGTACTTAACTGAGCAGAAAATGCATTTATTTCAGAAGTAAACTTATGAGGAGGAAAAAAGGAAAAAAAAAATGGAGTAAGGCCATGTATTTGCAACCTACATTCTAAGTAGCAAGAGCTCTGAGCACCCTGTGCTCTAAAACTGTTCTCTGTTCATCTGAGCCAGCTCAACAGAGCTTGCACCATTAGCTGGTACCTGTGGCAGTAACCAGCCAGTGTTTTGGCAAGATCAACCCAAAGCCTTAATAGAGGATTGCATTTATCCCCAATCCTGAGAAAACAGTTTTCTAAGATGTATGACTTGCTATCGAAGCTTCATACAAAATGGGACTGGGGTATTGTTCAATCAAAGTAATCTTCTATGTCAATATCTGGATTTAGGAGATCTTCACCGTAGGCTGAAAGATCCATTTGATTTAAAATCAAGTTTTCAAAGGTTTCTTCCAAGTCCGTTTCGCCGATGAGCACAGCTCCCATCATCCGGCCGTGCTGCATCACCGCTTTGACGTACTCGTGGCCCTTGGTACACCTCAGCATCAGCTCGTGCTCTGAGCCCAGGCCCTGAGCGTTGTACTTCCCCAAAACCACCACCTAGCAGAAGGAAAAAAAAAGGAAAAAAAGCTCTCACAACAACACTGCACTGGCTTTTAGCATTTCTGCTGCTAACAGCTCTCGGCCTCAAAAATGATGCAAACAGAGAAATATTCGTTCCTAGGGTCCCTCCCCCCATCATTGGCTTGCAAACACACAATGGACTCAAAAATCTTCCCCTTGAAATATCCTATACATTAGTACAAACCAAGAAAGTCTAAGCTAGGATGAATTGCTATATAAAGAAACCTGTTTCCTCAAAGCTCACTGTCAGCAAGTGAATATAAGCAAGCAGTATGTGTTACTCAGTGGTTTACAACTATCAGACTGTACCGACCTTGTAGTTGAAAAATTTTGTAATGTGAGCAAATAGTTCAAAGCTGAAATCCATCTCAATAGATTCCCCTAAAGCATCTGCTGCCATGCACTTTGCTGCATAGCATCCCATCTGCCGAGCTTGGGTCCACAGCCTCATCTGGAAGAGAGAATGGGCAAGAGTGAAGTCACCAGACCACCACTGTGCCACGAGCACTCGCTGTTGATGATTCCTCTCCGTGTGTGGAGACACGAGGCTTGACTCCATTTCAGAAGGCTGATTTATTATGTTAGATATTATATTAAAATGCTACATTAAGACTATACTGAAAGAGAGATCAGAAGGCTACAACAAGAACAGAACAGAATAGAATCACAAAAATCCTGTGACTGCTCACAGCCTTGGCACAGGTGGCTGTGATTGGTCATCAATGGAAAACAATCCACATGGACCAATCATGGATGCACCTGTTGCATTCCACAGCAGCAGATAGCAAGTGTTTACATTTCTCTCCTGAGGCTCCTCAGCTTCTCAGGAGAGGCAAAATCCCAGCAAAGGATTTTCTTAATATCATGGCTACACACTCGCTGCGCCGAGTCCTCAGTGCACGCTTGGTGCTGTTAATTCCCAGAAGGGCTGCCCAGCTGGGTTTGCAGCCACCAACCCCCAGGATTACCCACAGTTAACCTTTCCCTCCTCGGTGTGAGCGCTGCTGGGTGCCTCCCGTGGGTCACGCGTGCCAGGACGTACCTGGTGCCACACGGGGCTGGGCTCCCACGCTGCTGTGCAGATATCTCCAGCTGCAAACACATCTGGCAGCGACGTGTGCATGTGCTTGTCTACCTTCAGTCCTCCATCCTCGCCCACAGCAAACTGCAGGGTTCACACATCAGCAGTGAGACGAGGCATCAAGGCACCCAGCTCCCTCCACCCTAAGCAATCAGCTGTTCCTTTATTTACTGTGAGACTATCCAGAGTGGCAAGAGCTCCATGGAAGGTACAAAGCATTACTGTTATTATTTCTAGAGCACAGCACAGGTTTTTAAAGGACTATTACTGATACCTGGGCAAGGAAGTCACAGGGCTTGCCAAATTCCAGATCACACTGTGTGTTACAGGGACACCCAGTCTTAAGAGATCACTTTGTAGTTTTGCCAAGGCAAGAAAATACCATTGCAAAATGCATGGCCTGGAAATATCTCACAGCTCAACATCAGATCTATGTTTTCAACATTTCCTACTCTAACCAGAGCACAACCTTTTACTTCCTAATCAGATGGCACCACTTAACCTGAAATACCACAACCTCCTGGTTTGTCTGGGATCATTTTTTAGTAGTAGCTTGTATGGGGCTGTTTGTTGGATTTGTGATCAGTGTTAATTAATAACCCAGGGATGTTTGAGTTGTTGCTGAGCAGGCACTGAACACAGAAACAAAATGATCCTGAGGTTGGAAATGCACATGGCAGTTATGAACTCCAGAATCACCATCCACATTTAGGTGCTGACCTCCCTCAATGAACATGAGCACTGTGACAGCTCAGTGTCCCAGATGGAAAGTACTGGAAATAATTGCTTCCTTTCCAGGACCAAATGTCAAGATTAGCAAGGTAAGACTATGGTACAGAACTAACACAGAAATTATTCTATGTTTTTGCCACTTTAGCCAATTATACAGATGATTTTCTCTATTTGGTTAAGCTTAATACTGCATATGTACTGCATATAAACACCTGGGAACAACATAACAAACCAAGACACAAATCAAATACACTTGTGTCGTTTGGATATCTCACTATCAACATGCCCTGCCTTATTTTGAGATGGTGCACAGTATTTAAATCTGTAGCAATCCATGTTGCATGTCAGAACAGAAGCACAAACCAGCTGCAAAGGTTTCTTTAACATTACTTGAAAAGCTCCAAAAGAAATCAGTATACTTACATTATTGCCATCAAGAAAGGGTTCAACATTTGGCACAACTCCAGTTGCACTGACAATGAAATTGCATCCATAAATTTTTCCATTAGTTAATTCCACATATACAGGCCAGAGCACTGAAAAAGGAGAAAATTTTGCCCCAAGAATGTAACCAACAGAAGTTATTTTATTAATTATATCTTATGGTAAGATATGAAAGAAAAAAAAAACAAACCTTTGAGGTAACTGAATAGGTAAAGAAAGGTTAAAATTAAAAAGGAAAAAATTATCAGAAATTACCTATAACTTTTCTTACCATCGCTTAGAACTAGAGAAAAAAAAGATTTTGGATCTCAGCTCCAAATCCTACTAATACCTTTCTTCAGAAATTTCCTAAATTAAAGCCCTCATTTGTAGGGGGGTAAATACTGTGTCCTGTGGGGTGTTCTCTCAAGTATGAAATTGCCAAATATTTTTATGTAGAAATTTAAAGATGCACAGAAGTTCCTCACTAGCAAAAAGAACAGCACAGATTCAACTTTTGCTGAAAGTAACTGATTACTAAAATAGTATTTTAAAAATTCATTTTAATTAGGTGGAAATTATAGGCATAATTATTCATTTTAAAAAATGGATATTTTCCTCTACTTGGAAGGTTTACTTCAGTTTTGATCCAAAATGTTGGTGATTTTTTTTCTCCTATTTGAACTTCACTATTAAAATATTTAAAGGATTGTGTTAGGATGGAATACATACAAGATTTTGGTTACTTTATGGAAAAAAGTGTCTGACCCAAAAGATTTTGTAATTTAATTGCAGCCCATAAATTTGATTACTGTAAACTCCTACACCTCAAATTATAGAGATAAAAGATTTATTTTTCAAAACTGTATTTGTTTTAAAAGAGCAAACAAGATCAAACATGCTCCAGCACAGATTTATCTTCGAGATCTTATCAGCACTGGCACTCACCCTCATCTGCTTCTACATTTTTCTCTCCTTTAGGAAAAGTCAAGGAAGTCAGCTGCAGTTGCATAAATTCTTGCTGTAAGTATATTTTCTTTACTTCACACAGTATTTCAATGTGTACTTTATGAGAAAACTAAAGAAAAATTGACAGAATTATAAACATAATGATTAGCGATCACAAGATTGATAATAGCAAGGATATCTTCACCTCAATTGATACTAAAGTGGAAAACCCCCCACCATATATCCCAGCCCGTTAACTGGATTCCTACAGTTTCTTTTTGGCACAGATCTAACCACAGCCAATGGCAATTTACCTGCTTTTTCAGCAGCTATCTCACATTCCTTGAAAGTTCATAACAATTAGATTTTTCTGGCATGCCAGAAAACACAGGTTACCCTAAACTTACAGGAAGAGACCTAAAACCTCATCAGAAACCTTATCAGATCTTAAACCTTACCAGAACAGAAAGCAAACTCATATTTTCTGTCTTTCAGGACTGCAAATCCTTTGTTTTTCTATCATTAATTAAATTTTGGTAACAATAATAAGCTTATGTTCTAAACACTGTAAAAAGAAAAAATACTCTGTACCATCAACTCACATTTCAACCATATTCTGAGCTCCAGCCAGAAGTTGGAAAGTTGCCTGTTTCTCTAAATTGTTTTGTGAATTTGGGCCTTGTTTTATTCTCCACAAATACAGTTCCACAGCCTTCAACAGCCAAACCACCACTGATTAATCTGCTAAATATCCTGAACATCCTTTAGCTGGTTTATGACTGATCACCCTTGACAGGTCATTTTTTAAATGCAAAACAGATGCAAACACCTAACAGCTCAGGAATTCATAAATGAAAACAAAATTAAATGTGAGGATTTTTGCTTTATTGCAGAGATGGAACTCTTCCCAGTTCTCATGCCCACAAGACCCAAATAAATATGGCAGCAAGGTTATGCCCATACCTCCTTAGTCCCTTTAAGGTGTAAGCCCTCGTGCCAGTCAGGGCCCAAGGCACTGCCCAGCCTGTCAGATG